GTGGCAAGGGGATGTTCCACTTAATATTTTGCTTTCTCCCTATACTTTTTGACTTACAATAAAATTCCAATCTCATCTTTCCACTTCAACCCTCAATACTTAGAGGGTTTTGTGGTTTGAAAAACAGACATGTCTTTTATCCAGAAATTGAGTTTTCTACATTGGGATTTGCTACGCATTTAGAAATATTTTTTTAATAATTTTTATTTTGAATTTTGAATTGTGTGGTACAATTTTATCTAGGCTGGGATTCCCCCCAAACTCCCACCCCTCGTCAGATTTTCCCCATTTTGTTACAATGGTGTAGTCCTTCATAAGGAATCATAATTGTATCATTCTGTTATTTAAGTGTACCCCAACATTGTTGGTACAGACAATGTCAGACAGTCCAGCATTCCACTGTCTACACATGTCCAACAGTTTCATTGGAGTTCCATCTTTCATCTGGATGCAGGGATGCATGTTCCATTGTACTCCCACATCTGTATGTGATAGATCCCAGAATTCCATCACTATACATTAAGAAGAATGAAATTATTCTATTTACAACCAGGTGGTCCCAACTAGAGAACATTAAGCTCAGAGAAATGAGTCAATCACAAAAGAGCAAACACCATGCATTCTCTCTTATATAAGGAAAACAACATGGAAAATGTAACTCCAATAGTCCAATCCATACTGGTTTTTGAGTGTTTGTTTGCTTTTTTGGCTGTATTCCATGTGTTTTGATTTTTTTTTTTTATTTCAGTTTGGTTCATTCCAAATAATCTCCTTTCTCTAGTCGAATTCATCATGGGCTCATGAATTACACGATGACATTATTTTTCCCAAGAGACTTCTGTGTTTCCTTTTTGTCACTCATGTGTTGGTTACACAGTGGCACTTTTTTTTTAAGGTACTGTAACTTGTTGTTGATGTTGTTATTATTGTTGTTGTGGCTGTTCTAACTCATACCAGTTGTTGACCTTGTTTCATGGCTTCTCTCTTGTGGTAATGTATAGTGATGGAGCACTGGAGTCTATCATATACAGAAATATTTCCATTAAATTTTCCCTTGGTTTTGATAGTATGAGTTTACTGCTCTATTCTGCTAATAAACCAGAATAACAAGGTTGACATATCAAAACTATGATTTCAATTGTATCAACAACAAAAACAAGGGGAGAAAAATGATTAAATTTAGGAGGTAATAAAACAAACAATATCCTAGTGAAAATTTGGAGAGGAAAGTTGCAAAATGGAGACAGTATGATAAATTATCAAGAAGTAACATTAAATATATAAAAGAAAAGATAAACTATGAAATGGCAAATAAAATTAGGGGTATTTTGTGAAAGTCATAAAAGGAAATAGAAAACTATTATTGTAAAGTGCAAGTAGATTGTGCTATTGCAATTTTAACTCAGAAGTATGTAAATTTGGGGAGCAATTTTTGTAATGTCAGCTTCTCATAAAATTCTTTAATAGCTTCTCAGATTGCACAAGCTAGAATATAATAAAATATAATAAATAAAAATGTACTTGTATTCCTTGTCTATTATATAGTGCATATTTCTGCAGTATATCTTGTTTTAGCTTATATTAGATGTTCTCATTAACTCTGAAGATTAAAATAGTTCATACAAACAATGACTCCAGTTATGAAGATGAAGAATGAAGCCATAGTTTGGGCAATAAAGTTTTTTTTATTGCAATATGCTACTATAAATATTACTCAAATATTTTTTAAAGTGAACTAACAAAATAATTCTTCAGTTACCAGCATAGCGTAATTGATGAAAGAAGGACTTCAATTTTGTAAACGTTTCAGAATTACTTCTGTCACTCATGGAGAAACCTTAACATGTTATAAATTATTCCAATTACTAAGATGTCTTATACTTTTACAATGAGACAGCTTCAGAACATAATTTTTATGAATTTTGTGAATCCAAACTATGATTAAGGAGTCCACATATGCTAGTGCTTTTGAGATACTTATACTTCTAAAAGTCTTTTAGTAGTACAAATCTTCAAGAATTTCATATAATTTAATTTTGGTATACAAATATTATTACTTACTCAACCATCAAGATATAATTTGATACTGTATCATGATACACTGGATTGGAACCAAAATATTAAAACATTTGCAGAAGTTTTAAATTGGTGATATTCTTAATAGGAAGATAGACAAATTTATTACATGAGTGGTAGTCATTTGGGGGAAGAAGAAATGATACCCTTAGTTTTGTTCTGAGAGTTCATGTCAGATTGAGAGGTGCCAAGTCAAGCAATATATTTTCCACTCGTGAAACCAATCCATGGCCAATTCATTTTTTAAATACAGTTACTGTTCCTTGAATGTCAAATATTACTATGCCCATACCTTAGCTTCAACTTTATTTTCTGACGTTGGTAAGTTTCATAAACGTGCAACAAGGAAACTGAGCAGATTTTAATAATGTGATTTAAGTGGCAACAATATAGCAAATTATTCATCTTTTACCTTAGCAATTATCCCTTGGTAAAGAATATGTTTAATTTGCATGTGAGCAAGAATTTCAATGACTAATGAAACTGTAAGCACCGTCTAGTCAATACAAATACGAATGAGAAATCGATAACCATGTCAATAACTTTTTAAGAATTTTAAAGAAAACTAATTTTAATCATTTCTTCAAAAGAATTTAAATAAAAATTTGTTAAGTAACAGATTCAGCATTGAATTTTATTTTTTCAGGATCCCAATTGGAAAAAAATTTAATCTATCTCAACAGAGCCAGAAGCATCAGAAATAATAAACATCAAAAGAAATTTAAGCTCTTTTGGGTTTGTTTCAAACTGAGGAAGAGTCTTGGCATGAAGAAAAATAAGATATAAGTCTGAGAAGAGGTTAGGTCACTATGACAGTAAGTTTTACTAACATTTTATTACTGGTGAAAGCAAGTGAAGTGAAAACCTGAAACTTTTTCTACTGTTCCCTTATCAGGGAACATGAAGAACTACCGTCGGCAGAGAAGAATGGAGAAGCAACCCAGACTGCTGGGTACATACATGGTGAACTTACAAAGATTTTGTGTTGATCACAAAATAGCATTTTATTACTTCATATTTGAAATATCAACTAAACTTTACTCCTTAACTTATTGTCAGTGCTTTAAACTAAAAACAGCATGTGCAAGTTTGTGTGTAATGATACTACATCCTGACAGGAAGTGAACTTGAAAGGCAGAATGTATTTAAATGTGGTTAGCATTTGTGTGCGTAATCTACTGAAAAATAAACTGCAATTTCACTTGCAATTACAATCTTTCCTATAAAGGAAAAGGCGCTTTTGGAAAGAGATTATACACTCTATTTAATGTGGTCTTCATTTGAGAACTCAAAGTCTAATTGTTAGCCTTCTTTTTTTCCTACCTAACTTTCCTAGAATCTCTACGTTGCACTACAAGCCGGGGAAGATGCTTTTTTTCTCTTGGAAACATTATCAGGAAATCAGTTTTCCTTTCTCAATGTATTACAAAATGTTCTGAGAATGTTTTGTTTGCAATTTGAAAAATTTCCTGGTGGTTTTTACTTACTTTTTTTTCTACATTTTCTTCTTGACTCCAAAAATACAGTTAAATTATTCCATCCAGTTAGAATAGAGTGAATCCTTTTTAACCTCATTACAAGTCTCAAGCTCCATTACGCTGTAGTCTCCTGGTCCCATCAACTGAAATTCCTCTCTGTCTCGCACAGCGCAGTCCCAGGAGGAGCCTGCTGCATGCCCACCATCGAGACAACGGCATAGGAACAGGACTCTGATGTAGGGACACTGTCAAAGCATTCATTTTCTTTCTTTCTTCTTCTTTTTTTTATTATTTTCATTGACAACAAAATTTTCTGGAGAGTACAATCAAGATAGTGTGTTCATAGAAATAACATTATTAGAAGCTTGGACATAAATGATAACAGTCATAAGGATCTTTCTTATAAAAGCATTCCACACAGGGCTATAACAACACAATAAATAAAGAATTTCTCATTTGTCACATAGCAATACAGAGCTGCTGTAACAAAAATGTGGCTTTTACAAATGCTTACATACTAAAAATACAAGCAAAAAATATGAGGTCATGCAACTGGAGACAAAAAGCTAAAGTAAATAATCATAGTAAAAAAAAAAAAAAATAAACATCCAAAAGCTAAAAAAAGCAGCTTAAGTTTTTGTTTGTTTGTTTTGTTTTGTTTTAGAAGAAAACGTGAAATTCAATTAGAGTGCTTTGAAAATGAATTAGTTTATATTTGCCACTCCATCAGGGATACAAGCAAAACTGTTTAGCAATCCTTTATGCCGTTGCAATACACGCTGTCATCTATTTAAGGGACAAACTCCATCGCCTCAGGCCACGTCTCATATTACAGGGATGGAATGAAGTACATCTTTCACCTTGATTATAAAAACAGAATTGTGGTGTAAGACACATAGTCTCAAGGCCGAGCCCATGCAGCCCCACAGAACAGAAGGGGCCTGGGAATCAGAAAACGGGACCTTCGTGTCTGTGTCCATTATCGTCTGGGAAAACTCATTGAAGAACCATTTCACAAATATGTTTCCAGAGGCTTCCCCAGCCCTAAAACATCAGTTTGCCTAATTTATCACCATAACAGTAAGAACTGAGCAATGAGAGCTAGCAGACAGCAGCAGGGAAAACATAACAGAAGCATTTAACAATTGAACACGTCTTTTTCGGGAAAAAAAGAAAAAAAAAGTATTAGGAAAGAAGCTGGACCACTTAATGATGCCAGCACTCACAATGCTTCCGTGGGGTTGTTCCTACTGCCCAGTTTATGTTCCCATCCACTAACCTAAGCGGGCCTTTACACTTGGCAGCTGAGTATATGACTGGCCCTGGGGCTACTTTCTACATGATTAGGAAAGACATGGAAGTAAAAAAATAAAATTTGTTAAATTACACATAAATATAAGGTACAAATGTATTTTTAAAATACAGATTAAAATAATCACACTTGCATTGTGTACATACGAAAATACAGTATTTCATATTCCATATACACAGACACATTTATGATAAATGCAACGATTTGGCAACACCAGTTCTACCCCGGGTTGTTCCTAACCCCCATTTCAACCGACAGGGAACTGGCCCTGCAGGAGGCTCCTAGCTCTGGCGCACATCCTGCAGCAGTTTGTTGATCTCCGCCACCAGCTCGCTGGCGTCCATGAGTTCGTGCTTCCCGTCGCTCAGGTGGTTGAGCACATTGTCAAAGTCATCTTCCTCGTAGTTCTCCGGGATCTCCTCCATGGCCGGCAGCCACTTGGACGAGGGCTGCACGCTGGAGTGCGCGCCCAGCGCGGGCCCCGAGCTGCTGGCGGGGTTTTGGAAGTGCGTGCTGGCCGCCCAGGCCGCCACGCCCTGCGGGTAGCCCGCGCCCTTGGCCGCCAGCGGTCCCTTGCGGCGCTCCAGCGAGTTAGCCCGTTCGGCGTCGCTGCCCTCGGCGTAGGTGTCCAGCGAGGGCGGCAGCAGACGCTGAAACACGCTGCTCATCTCCGAGAGCAGAGACGAGGTGCTGGTGTCCGCCGCGTCCTCGTCGCTCGGGGCGTCCTTCCCGAAAGTGGAAAAGCTCTTCTTTTTTTCGCCTCCACACTCTGCAGGTGAAGCTTCCTCGTCGAGGCTCAGGTGTGCGGGCTGCTGCGGGGGCTGGGTGGGGAACTCCTCGCCCGGAATGAACATGTTGCTCCTGTAGTCAGAGGACGGCGAGGGCAGAGGTGGCATCCAGCACTGGTCCGAGTGTCCCAGGACTCTGCATTCTTCCGTGCACAGCCTCATGGCTGAGGGAAAGGAAACCGACATGCATCAGTACGTGCAGTGTCATCTCAAGGCCAGGGGGATTCCAGCCAGTTCATTCATAGAACTCTTAAATTACAACCAGAATGCTAGCCCATTGTCATCCCACATTAGATGCTCCATAATTGTGGTTTTATTTTGAATACTAACATCTAGGAGTCTCCCCAAGCCACAGTTGCTAGTGCATCCGTTTTTTGACAGAGCTTTTATGTATTTCACAGAAATATTGTGGTATTCAAATGAGGAGAAAAATTCATGGCTAATTTATATATGAAAATAGTTGCGAACAACCTAATATGCAGCTGTTGAAGTAAATGCTGAACTTAAATTCTAGTCCCTAGCCTTGGATGGTGAAGTCCTCATTTATTTTTTATTATTGATTTATTTATTTTTATTGGGAAGTCAGATATTCAGAGAAAAGGAGATTGAGAGAAAGTTCCTCTATCTGCTGGTTCACTCCCCAAGCGGCTGCAAAGACAGGAGCAGAGCCAACCCCAAGCCAGGAGTCAGGAATTTCCTGCAGGTCTCCCATGTCATGCATGATCCCAAGGCCACAAGCAGGGAGCTGGATGGAAAGTGGAGCAGCTGGAACACCAACCGGTACCATACAGGATCCCAGCACATGCAAGGTGAAGATTTAACCACTAGACTAATATGTCCAGATTGGAGTTCTCAACTTTAGCTTGTCACCAGACAGCACTTCAGTTAAAACCCCATTCAACTTGCTTGATTTTGAAATCTACCTAAACCACTTCAACACAATGGAGACACTAAGTTAGCAATGCCCATTCAGCTCCCTCAAAGGTAGTATAAATTATGTATTTGTTATTAAAAAGAAGCAGAGAAGAGTATCCTGAAGCATTGGGCTTCCATCTGTTAAGAAGACTTTATGTAAAAGTTTGAAATATATTAATATTCAAATATGCGAAAGGTGACTCAACATGCAAAGCAAGTCCATTCCTCAGTCATTTCAGATATGCTAGTGCCCTGATGGAATCAGAGTGCCCACACTCAAAGAAAATAGCAGATGAGATCAGAAAGGTTGAAAATAAATACACAGAGGAAAACATCTCTACCCGTGGCAAGCAGAATAACTAAACTACATAATAATCACAGAATGGAAAGATGCAAACTACACTCCACAAGTCTTCACTTTTTCTCAGGGAGAATTAGTTCTCTTCACTATCATAATTTCATCTTAGAGAAAACACCAAAATGCAGAAAATACAAATTCTCTTTGACCTGAAAGAGGATGGGTTTGATTCCAAACATACTTAGAAATCAGAATGGATTTTTCTTTTTTTCAGAGCTGGTCATTCCAGGAATACTTATTTGCTTCTCAAGTTCTTACTGAAGGCATGACTAAAAGAAACCCAAACCTCTTTTCAAGAACAACAAACTGCCTCTTGTGCTTGTCTAAGCATCCTCCCATCCGTCAAGGGTCTGCCCAGGGTATGTCTTCACCACATGTTTTCTGGGCCAAATAATGTTGACTTGCAGAGACAGAAGCATAAAGGCTCTGTTTAAACATGTAGAAATTTCTTTCAAGATGCTTAATTTCATAAAGTTCATCAAATCCTATTCTAAAAAGGTATTATTTGAAGAAAGAAAAAAAAAAAAAGAATAGGAGTGATGGATTTGAATGAAAAACAAAGCCAAATCACAAAACTAGGGAACAAACTAATAAAAAGTAGGGGGGAAATGTGGAGAAAATAATGAGCTCCAAATTCTTGTGAAAAAAAGAGGGTTGTCGTGGGAAATCACTGTGCAATATCACCATAGAAAATAAATGAATTTCAAAAAACAAGGATGAATCAAGAACAAAAGCATATCAGATGCCCAGACTTCATGAATTATTACTATGTGGCAATATTTACAAACTGTTGTTTTTCATCATTTGGTGTGAACAAAACCAAAAGAAGATGAAAATAACAGGGTTGCTTCTATACCAATAAGGCTTTCTCATCAGTGAACTAACTATCACAGTATTAATTTTTTCCCTTCAATTCCCCAGGTCTCTGCAAATGGGCATGAGAGCTGTCTGTGCTGTCTCACACACTTCCTGTCAGAGGGAAGGAGAACAGACCGCCTAACACCTCTTCATTTGTTTTCTGGGCTGTAACTGCGGTTTATTGGCCTGGGAATGACTTGATTGTTTGATTGGTCTTGTTTGTTTTTAATGTTTAATGAATGATAAGCAATGAGGAGGAAAAAACTCACACAGGTTTCTCTAAGGACTTTGTATCTGTTAGGCTTTCTAGAGTCAGGAATATAATGAATGTATAATCTGTGGTATATAGTACAATGAAATCTGGCAGTTCAACTCAGAAATCATTTTGGTTATAGGGATTTTTTTTTAACAGTGATTGCTATTTACAACTTCATACAGACAGACATTCACATACACAGAAACCTACACGGGACTCTGATTATGAAATACAGAGTGGGGCCAGCATTCTAGTGTACAGGATTAAGCTGCTGGCATCAAAATGAGTCCCAGTTCAAGACCCATTTACTTTGTATGGGTTTTTTCGGGGGTTGATATTTATGCATTTCATTTGAAAGATAGGGTGAGAGAGAGAAAGTAGTGAAAGAAAAGTCTTCCATTTGATGGTTTACTCTCTAAATGGCCTCCTCAAGAGCCAGGGCTGAGCCAGACAAAAGCTGGAAGTCAAGAACATCATCTAAGGCTCCTTCCTGGGGGACAGGGGCCCCAGTAGTTGAGACATCCTCTCTTGCTTTCCCAGGTACATTATCAAGGAGCTGAATTGAAAGTGAAGCAGCTGAGACTTTAACGGGAACCCATGTAGAATTTAAATTGTGCCATAGCACCTTCCCCAGCTGCTTCACTTTTGACACAGGTTGCTGAAACTGTGCCTAGGGAAGCAGCCAGTGATGATCCAAGTACTTGGGCTTCTGTCACCCATGTGCAAGACCTGGATGGAGTTCCAGGTTTTGCCTGGTCCAGCCCTATCAATTATTCAGGGTGTGAATCATCCAGACAGAAGATCGATATCTCTCTTTCTCTCTGTCTCTCCTTGTCTATCTTACTTTGCCATCCACATAAATGAAATAAATAATTAAAATAGTGAATTAAGTTAAAAATAAAAAAATAGAGGGTGGTTGTTTGCAGTTAAAATGTCTATATTGTGTATAGGACTTCTTTGCATAGATTCCTAACTGGGGCTCGTGGCTTCAACTTCTGGCTAACTTGGATCCTGGAAGTGATGGGGATGGCTCAAGTACATGGGTTCCTGATCCATGGGAGATACAGATTTGTTAACTGTCTCTCACATGCATTGTGAGTCCAGCATGACCATTGTGGGTATTTGTGGTATTAGGGTTATATATTAGTCTTTTAAATAAGTTAGGAGTAGTAAGCTAAGGTCATTTTTTGAAATTTCATTAATATTCTCAATCTCTTCCTTAGAGATTCAACTGTTTAACACATCCTTAGAGTACATGTAGTAAGTTCTACAAATGCTCCACATTGCATCATGTCCCAGGCATCAAAAGTGTCTGTCATTCCCTGAAAGTTTTATCAAGTGGCTAAGGGAGACAAGTTAAAAGCATCAGTCCATGGAAGTCACTGATTGGTCTTTTGCATCACAGGACAATTAATTTTGTCACTATTATCTACCTTATATTTGGAGCAGGAAGGAGGACACAGACGGTAAGAAGAAACACATACACCTGCTTCTAACAGTGCATTAATCAACAGGTGACTTATAAGTTATCTATATTAAGAGCCTGATGGTGTGAAATGCTATGATTGGCATCCTTCCCAAAAAATGGTTTAAGACCTATTTCTTAGTCTAATGTAGCAAAGGAGGTCATAAACATTCAGTTAAGGTGCTAAACTTGGGCCTGGTGCAATGGCCTAGCGGCTAAAGTCCTCTCCTTGAACGCGCCAGGATCCCATATGGGTACTGGTTCTAATCCCAGCAGCCCCACTTCCCATCCAGCTCCCTGCTTGTGACCTGGGAAAACAGTGAAGGACAGCCCAAAGCCTTGGGACCCTGCACCCATGTGGGAGACCTGGAAGAAGTTTCTGGCTCCTGGCTCCGGACCAACACAACACTGGCCATTGCAGTCACTTGGGGAGTGAATCATTGGATGGAAAATCTTCCTCTCTGTCTCTCCTCCTCTCTCTATATGTCTGGCTTTGCAATAAAAATAAAAAATAAACAAAAGGTTAAGCTTAATGAGACTGAGAGTTTACGAAATAGAGGGAAAAAATAATGGAAATGGAGGCTGAAGTAAAGAAAGAACAGTTTAAAACGGAACTGGAGAGGTGAACAGAATCAAGCAATTGCTCAGCTACACAGTGCAGCGTGAGCCACAGACAGGTGCATAATGTATAGGAAACTCTGTGCTTATTGTCAAAGTTACGAATGTGATAAAATTGATATTTTAATAAGCTAGGAGTGGATTTGAGTAACCTTCAAATACTAAGATAAATAATTCAGTTCTGTATTGCTGGGCAACGAGACTCAAGTATTGATTTTGAAAAAAATAATGTACATGACAATATTTAGAAAGGGTTGTTGCATGAAAAAAGATTTAAGACAGTGAGAGCTAGTGGAGAGCAGCTATCAGCTTCCGGGCTGTCGCAGTCAACCAGCTCCATCAGCAAGGCCAGAACAGAGCCTGGACGCCACTCCAGAGAATACAGTGCATGCAGAATTTAAACACAAATGTTGAAGCAAGTAACCACAGATTACAGACTGATAAAAAAAAAAAAAGTGGGAATGATTTAAACTCCAACAAGTGGAGAAAATACTAGAAGAAACACAACTAAAAAAAAAAAAAAAACGTTTAAAACCATCCTGTTATACCTATTACACTGGGAAAATGGATATGCATGCAGGCATACACTTAGCATTACAGTACAAAATTGAATGAGTAAAAAAGAAAATATGCTGACCAACTGGAGCCAAAAAGCAAAAATGCAAGCTGCTTTTATTGATGAGAATGTGGTCTTTTGCATGGGAATTCATAGAATGAGTGCTCCAAAGTGACCCTGCTGGCTTGCAATCCAACAAAACATAACCTATATTTGTTCATACTCTAAAGCAGAAAAACATTTGAAATAAGAAAATTATGTCCTTAAAAATACACTTGCATCAGAACACTGCTGATCTCTGAACTTACATTTTTCTCTGTTTTGGATATCTCCTAGGAATATGCATTTACAAAGCACAAGTTTCAGAGCCTCATGTGCATGTAAAAGTTGCCAGGTTATCATTATTTTCCTGCTCATAATGGATGATTATCTCTATGGATCCTCAATACGCACACTGAAATCAATAGTGGACAAACACAAATATTTGTTGTAGACCACTGACAACTGCCTGATGCTGTATGACTCAGATAGTTTTGATCACAGCCACATGGAGACCAGTAGCTAATGAGGAAGAATTGTATCCACCATTGTGCAATCTGTTGTAAGACAACATGAAGTGCCAGCAAAATGACTGGTATACACCTGAATCAAACATGATTGTACAACCATGAAATTATTTTTATAACAGTGTCTATACCCTAAAGCCATTATTCATAATGATGTAAAGCTGAGATTTTATTTTTAAAGAAAATGTGACGTGGTTAGCTTCAAGTCACTCAGTAAACTTGATTTTAAAAGTTTCTACATTGTCTATAATATCCTTATTCCGTAATATTTGTTGTTGTAGCTTAAGACCTAGATAATTCTCCTGTCTTGAGCATATGTAGAAGTCATAACTGTGAAAATGTAAGAAAAAGTAAAAGAGTAGTCTTGGTATTTTTTTTAAATTAGATCAGATTTATGGTTAGCTATTAGAGTCACACAAGTTCAGACTGTAAAGGACTTTGGCATTAGTCTCACAAATGACAATGCTATTTAAGAAACAACAGTTAGTCCTCATTTAACTGTTATGTAAATTTAAATTTTAATGAACATTTAAAATTCTCTATAAATCTCAAAACATATCATATAATTATAATATTATGCCAATTATGATATTTTACTGCTTTGTGAAATAACAAAATTTTGGAAATTACATTACTGAATATTTGGAATTGATATGCAAAATTAGGGCTCTATCAACATCATAAAACTAAAAAAAAATAATTTATCCAAATCTTACATGAGAATACAAGTGATAAATGGGTAACTGTGTTAGCTCTGAATAGGGTGTCTGAGGGCCTGAATAATCCACTAATTTTCCAGAGATTTATCTTCAGATTGATTTACAGACATCTATGAATTTAAAAAATAGATGACAATATAGGTTCAGTGCAAGCACAGGCTCTCAAGTGCTTGCGATCCCATTGCCATTAGAAGTCCTTGGATGCATCCATCCCACTAAATAATAGTGTTTGGTGCTGTAATAATAGAATCAAATGAGCAATATTTTAGACTTTAATAGACTTTAAGTCTCAGATTATAAGAAGAAACAAGCCATTCACTGATCTCAAAAACTAAAACAAAACAAAAAGCAAACAAACAAAAAACAAATCACTTTGTATTTCCTAAAACTGGGAGATTAAAATTGAAGAGTATGGAATCAGGTCAACTTTCATGTCTAGCCTGCACAAACAGTTTGGGTTGGCTCTCATTTGCTAAACTTTATAAGTTTTAATTTTTATTATCTAAACAAAATATTTATTTCTATCATCAAAACTGCTACTAATTCTTGTGCCAAAGGGTGGGAAAGGCAATGAATCTACAGACTTTCATAAGGACCTAGAGTGCTTGGCATAGGACTAAGAACTGGAATACAGCTGATGTCTCTACTGCTCTGCAAGCAATGCTACCAGGCTGGACCTCTGCTTCCATCATAAGGCTGGAAAGCTAGAGTGCCTACTTCCTGACTCCTCCTGAATTTGTTTTCTGATCCAGGTAGGCTTTCTCATGTTTTCTTATGGTCTCTTAATTATTCATGTTTAGAAAATGGATGCTAACGGAATTAAGAAAGGTGTCACTCTGCATTTCTTCCATTTTTAAATGGCAGTCTTTTCTCCAACAACTCTTGCGAAATTTGGAAACACAGCCATCTCTACAAACTCTTAGAAGGTGGTAAGCATTGGTTTGACATTTTATTCCTTGGTAACAGGGTTGCTATAAAGATGGAGCCAATATTTACTTAGTCGCTTCAAGGAGTTTCTATAGCACCAGCAGAGGGAAAGTGGCTCAAAACTTAATGGTATCATCTCCACCAGCCAAGAAAGTACTTCCAAATTACCCTCTTGGATCACTATTCCTCTTCCCGAAAGCGCGGCCATAAAATGAAGAGTGGTTAAAAAAAAAGTTTTAAAAAAGTCTGTGCTTGCCACCTACAAAGATGCAGTTTTCCCCCTATTTTTATTGGTTAAAGCATACCATTTCTAGTGTATTTTAATCTCGGACTTTGTGAGCTAGTTCCCAACACAGGAAATGCATCCTCCAAATTATAGTCCAGTTCACCACTGTGCACCAAAACAGACAGTTTGAGTAAAAACACCACCCAGTAATTTAAAATAGTTGCTCAAGGGGGTTCTATGTCACCATGAGATGGGTTAAAAAAAAAAAAAAAGAGGGCGAGTGGTTTGTTTTTCCAGTCTGCTCTCCTACACCTTACTTTTTGTAATGGAAAGGACCCAGGTATATTATTTCATTACCAACTGCTTAGCATGAATTTGAAGAAAAACGTTGTGCAGATTGCAAATACTTACTGTAAAGCACAAGCAGAAACAAATGCAAGCGTAGGAATAATAATTCAGCAGATCTGTAAAGAGAGATTTATCTGACTCTACCACTTACCTGCAGGGATTCTTCCATCTGTAAGGAACAGGTCACTGAAGCCTTCTCCCAGTAGTCTATCTATTGGGGAATCTCGCCCCAAATCATAATCACTGTCTCCTGCTTCACTGTCACCACGTCCACTGTCCTTCAAGCTGAACTTGTCCATGTCTTGAAGGGCATACCTGCAAAGATAAATCAAGAAAAAATACAGGTTTTATTCTACCTTAAATTATGTGTCCGGGCACTCACCAGATAACACAAGAATAATTCATACCTATAGCTCCTGGAGTATTTGTTGCCTCGAAAACTTGGCCTTGGCTGATATTGTCCCTGATGAAGCATTGAAAGGAGCTGAGAAACCTGCTGGAAAGCAAGCAGACAGACCTGATTTCCTGGAAACAAGCTTTCAAATACTCAGAAGCATAAGGCAAGGAAAAAGAGTCACTTTTTTTTTCATGCTAAGTCAGTAAACAATATCCATTTTACAGACTGCATCTGCTGGGCTGTGGCAGGCAGAGCAGGCAAGCAACAGATACAATACAAATGGATCCCAGCCAGATTAGGATGATCTGAAAATACAGCTGACTTTTTTTTCCCCATTTTGAAAAAGAACTCCCCTTTTGAATAAGTGATCAGTTTCCTTAAGGATTCACATAAAGTCATCATACATACACAAATGTATGTGAAGTGCTGCAAGCTATAACAAACATGCGCAGTTAAAATAATGTCATACAATTTCTAAATCCATGCAGATGAAATATGCATTGAGATGGGATTCTGAGGTATCAGATTTGTCCAACCCCCTGCTCCCCGAGGCAACATAATCCTGAGAATGAAGAAAGTTACTTTACTTTTTGTCTCTCCAATATTTTAACCTGAGAAGTAAAGGTTTAGGAGACAGTGCCTTCTGAGCTTCACATTCTTTCAATAATAAACAATTCACATGGAAGTATATTCACATATAAGCATGCTTAAGTATGTTATATACATGTTATGTACAGAACAAAATCTAAATCCTATTTATTTACATTTTCTCCATCTTACTAGTTATTAGTGAAAACATGTAAAACTAATTCCCACTAAACTTGTGAGCAGTAACAACTGACAATGTGAGGGAAATGACGCAGCGCATGATCTTACCTCAACAGCAGGAGTGGCGTGCGTGAGTTCTAGGGAGAAATTCTCTGGCACGTGGTTTGATGAGATTGTCACCAAACTGTTGAGCGACTGGTGGCTGTTGTGACTCTGCCGGCTGCCCATCTGCCCTCTTTCTAAGGTCGGAGATGAAGATGGAGACGATCTGTGATGTGATCTGATGGGCAAAGTGCCGTTGATGGTGGGTACCAGTGTGATGTCACCTTTGTGTATCTGTCTAGACGGTCTTTTTGGATGGTGCTGGTAGGTCGATTCAGCCACTCTGCAGTTGTAGGATCTAGTGTCTTTCTTTTCTCTGTTACACCTTGTCGCAAACAATACCATAATGACCAACAACACTGCACAAATTGCTCCTAAGGAAATAATTATAATCATGGAGACATCTAAAGATGCCTGGCTTACTGAGGTCATGGCTGTACTTGTCACTGACTCTGCGTGTTCAAAGATGATGCATTTCAGAAAGACTTTGGTATGCAGCTGAGGATTGCCTTTGTCCTGGATGATAACAGCAAGTTCCCATTCTGTGTAGGGAAAAGATTCCATGCTCACATTGGTATGGATGTCACATGTTCGTGGATCAATTACAAATATATTCTCCTCATTACCTGCTACTATGGAGCAGCTGAGTTCAGCATTCACCCCAGAGTCTCTGTCAATTGCCCGTATCCTTGTGACAAGAAATCCACTTTCAGCTCCTTTAGGGATGGAGATTTCTGCTGTATCGTTGCGCAGTGCAGGCCCTATAACCACAGGGACGTTGTCATTTTCATCAATGATGGTGAGTACCACGGTGGTATTGCTTACAAGTTGCTTCGGACTTCCTCCATCCCTTGCTTCAACCACAAAAGTGATCTGACTCACTTCCTCATGGTCAAAGATCCTGAGGGCATAGATGGCTCCATTGGATGGGTCAATAGTGACATAGGTGGTTATGGAACTACCCAAGATAAAACTCTCCAGAATGGTGTATGTCACTTGGCCATTTTCTCCAAGATCAGGATCGGTAGCTGTAACGGTGGTAATATATGCCCCTGGTGAGTTATTCTCTGAGATTACAAATTCATACCGGCTCCTCTGAAAGTGGGGTGGATTGTCATTTATGTCGTTGACTTGAACGGTAAAATGTTTGACTGTGGAAAGACTAGGTGTCCCCTTGTCTTCAGCGATTACAGTCAAACTATATTCAGATCTCCTTTCTCTATCCAGTGTGGCATTGGTCAAGATTAAATAATTGTTTTCATAAGTCTTCTGAAGTTTAAAGTGACCATGACCATGAAGTTTACAAACAATTTCTCCATTCAACCCAGAATCCTTGTCCTGGACCCTGACCAAGGCAACAAATGTGTCAATAGGATCCCCTTCAAATATGTAAGATATTTCTTCTTTTCCTGGGGACATGAGGTTTATGTTAATTTCAGGCTTATTGTCATTCACATCCACAACCTTAATGATAATTTTGCAATGAGCTGGAATTGAGTTTGGACCCAAATCTTGGGCCTGAACATCAATTTCATATGATTTGGTGAGTTCATAATCCACTTGCTTGAAAAGCGTCAAATGTCCTCTTTCCGAATCAATTTTAAAAGTCTCTATAATTTTGGGAGACACATGACTGCTGAAAGAATACACAATTTTCCCATTAGCGCCCTCATCTGGGTCAGTGGCATTCAGCTCCAGGAGCAGAGTGCCCACGGGAGAGTCTTCTAAGAGGTGTATTAGGTAAGACTGTTGTTCAAACGCAGGACTGTTGTCGTTAGAGTCAGAAATGCTGATTTTCAGAATGGACGAGCCAGACCTCTGAGGCACTCCCATGTCCGAGGCGTTGAGCTGAAGCTCATAGCTTGACTTCAGCTCCCGATCCAACTCTCTGACCACTATGAGTTCTGCATACTTGGCTCCGTCCGTCCTGGTCCGAACCTCGATATTAAAAAAGTCATTGGCAGAGAGGGAGTATGTGTGGAGGGCATTTTCCCCAACATCTGGATCGAATGCACTGTCCAGGGGAATGCGCGTCCCAACGGCTGCACTCTCAGATATCTCAATAGGGATGACAGATCTGGAGAACTGGGGAGAATTATCATTAATATCCAGCACTTCCACTTCTATATGAAAAAGCTGCAGATGCTCTGTGGGTAAAGTGATCACATCAAACTCTATGGAACAGTTCAAGTTTTTCTGGCACAGCTGTTCCCGGTCAATGGTAGCCCCTATGCTGATTTCCCCGTTACTCTCATTGACGACCAGAAGAGAATTTCCCCTTTGCATGGCTCGAAAGCGAACGGCAGAAGGATTAGGTAGCTTCGACAAAACATCAGCCACATCCTCTGATAGTCTTGCAATTACTGATCCAATGGCCCGTTCCTCATAAACACTGTATTTTAAATTCTTGCCCAGGACACAGAGGTTGAAAGATATCATCAGGAGTGCAAACGCAAACCTAAAGTGCATTTTAGTATCCATTTGGTGCATTGGCCAGTTTATGAAAGTCCCTTTACAAGAGCAAGTTATAGCAGCAAATCAATGCCCCCAACTTCTTTTCACAAGTCAAAGATACGCTATCTTTGATTGTTCCAACTTAAAAGCGTCTCCTAAGAACCCAGCACAGCAAATAACAGCTCGCAAAACTTTTGTTTTTTACACACCGTGTGGCGACTTCCAGCGTTTCTCCGCGCGGATTCCAAGGCTCGCCTAGCTAGGCGATGGGTATCCTCTCCAGACAGAAGATCGTCTGCTGTGCGCCTTCGCCCCGCTGGAACTGGATCCAAGGATGGCAGCTCTTCGCCAGGGTCTGCGGCGATGCTTTCCCGGGCAATCCGTTCTCCCTTTCTCTGCTCGGCTGCAGACTAAACACCCGTGATTGCTGACTCCGGTCTGAAATCTGTACAACTTCACTTCAACTCAGACAAAGCTCTGGCCCGGCGTGTGTTGAATCGCTTCCAGCCAATCAGCGCGCGTCCAAATCAAAAGCTGATGGAGTCACCCAGCGAGGGAGGGCGCGAGCGGAGGGTTGGAGAGGGAAGGCGGCTGGAGGAGGGTGGGAGGTGGTGGTGGGAGAGGAGGCTGAGGACGGGGAGACGGCGGGGGTCGCGGGAGCCAGTGGCGGCGGCTGGGAGACCGGCTGGTGGGGGTCGGCAATGGAAAGGGGCGCCCATCCCTGGCGGCGCCTCCCTCCTGCTTCCCCAAGCCCGCTCCTCCCCTTCGTCTCCTGCCTTCACTTTCTCCCAGTGTGCCACGACAAAGGGAAGACAAATTACAGAAGAAAAACTTTAAATCAACTTCTGGTCTCCTTTATTTAGATGGCACTTTAAATTGTGCTTGTTTTCTTAATTGCCTCCCCCCACCCCCTTTTCTTCCCCTGCTGCAAACATGCAATCATCTTGCTTTTCATAGTCCTTAAATGCTGGTTTTACTTGAGACATCTCTGAGTACATTTTGTTGGTGGAGGAATTTAATAAAATTTAGAAACTTGCTTCTAATTAAGCTGAGCAGACCGCCTCCACCCCTCCCCCTCTGTAAAGGCTTGTGTTTCCCGCTTCTAGAAGCACAAGCATATTGTCTAGGGGTTCTGTTTTAAAGGGCAGGACAAGTAAAGAGGTTTCCTTTTTCTGTCTTCTTTCATCTTTATTCTTTGAAGATAAGAAAGGCTATCTTGCACTTTTGATTTCTCTTAATTAGCAAGATTTACAGGAACACCTCAGGACTTGGAACTAATTAACAATATAATTCTTCCTGGTATGGTTCCTTTCTTTGGGTTTGGACAAAATGATTATGATGGTTCTTTGTCCCATTCTTTAAAAAATAATCCCATTTGTCTTGGGCAGCAGATATGCTTTGCATGCCAATTTCTACCAAAAGGTGCTGTCTCTACATGCTGAGCCTCTACAACAAATACTGGGGGACAAGGGCTGGTTAGTTTACAAGTCAAATTTGTACAGTATATGCATTATTTATGAAAACACTTTTTAGATATGTAGTTTTAAAACCCAAAGCTTGTTTACATTGACAAATAAAACGCCCAAGCTGAAAATTGCATTTTATGTGCATCAAAATGCTAAGAAATATCATGGGAGCCTTGTGCTATATCCAGGTCACAGGAACTGATATGGTATTCTTATTTGAAAATATGATTATTTATGATGTTTCCTCTGCTCTGCAATTCCTTTTAAGTTTCTCACGGAGGCTGCATTCACTGTTTTTCTCCCCCTCTATATTTTGCATTATTCTTCAGCTGTCTGCATCCACTTGCATATTTGCTGTTTCACGTAATCTCAGTGTCACTGTGTCCCATTTACCTTCTCCCACTCTCGAATTTGCCCCCCAGAAACATATATTAGAAAAAGCAATTTTTGGATTTTTCCACTTTGCTTATTCTCAGCAGAGCTCAACTAAAGTCACCAGGAAGGTTCTTTCCAAAAAAGAATGCAGAGGAGTCTCAGCATGAGCTCTCCTTCTTTTTAGGCATTCAAGGCATTTATCAGCTATTGTTTTGTTTTATTTTTTCTTTCTTTTCTCCTCCTCCTGAAACCAGTGCTGTGTGTCAAATTGTGCAGAATAGAGATGCCTATAATGAATGTATTTAGTACTAGGTCACACTAAAGAACATTCTACCCCATGAATAACACTGTTTTACAAGTTTGTAGCCTTTTCAAATTGCTGATCCCAAAACCCTATAGGCAAGAAAGGAAAAAACGACCACAAACCTCTGGGACTTTAGAAAGCCATAGCCATCTGGCCTGGGTCTCTCACAATCTCAGCCAATAATTATATCCATGCAGGCTTTATTGCATCTCTTTGCAAACACCAAAAGAGCAAAGAAAGGAATTAGTGACTATTCCAAGCTGAGATGAGGATTCAACTGCAATGTAGTTCCATTAATTCTAGGGGAGGTGTGTGTAAATTTCATGTCTGTTTCCCTAAATTTCAAGAGTAATGGATTGGATTATCTTCCAATATAGGATATTTTCTTCAATATTCAAAAAGTAAGAATCATTTTAACACTATATATATGACAATGGACATGCATAGATTTAACTGTTAAGAACAAGAGTTTTAGTGGAAATTAAGAAAATACTTAAAATTAATCAAAAACCAGTGCATATACAGTGTTTTCTGGGGCCAATGGTGAGTCTCCATGCATTAAGTTACCCCTTGGGGCAACTTAATAAGGGCTTCCCATATTCATGGAGTAACTTGAGTCTTGGCTGCTTCTCTTCTGATTGAGCTCCCTAACATGTCTTGGAGTGTAGTGAGGGATTCCCCAAATCCTGGGGCACCCTCCATTCGCTTGGAGACCTAGGTACTTGGCCTTGCCCTGGATGGCCCCTAGCTTTGAGGCAATTTGGGGAGGGAAGCAATCAGTTGAAGATGTCTCTAACATTCTTCCTTTCAAATAATTTAAAACTTAACCCCAAAATGTGTCTGTTAAGTCTTTACAGACCATGATATTATTCATGAAGATTTTTTCACTTGCAATAACATACTTCTAAAATTTTTCAGTTTGCTGTTGTACCACTAAGAACTTCTTTTGTATCTACTTGAAACTGCTTTGCTTTTGATTTGCTCTTAGTTTACACTACTTTCTTCTTCAAACTTTCTTCCAAAAAGTATAAAATTTAAAGTACGTCTTAATTTTGCACTCTTTAGAGAACCACAATTCTTTCCTAAGGTATCTCTGAAAACACCAAAATGAATACATGAAATGTGAACTTTTATCTCAAATTACTTATAATTTGAATGGATTTATGTTATAGTCGTGGGCAGGAAGAGTTTGAAGTGGATGGATAGGTTTTTATTAGTTGTCACCTAAGGATAAACTGATAGAGTTTCTGTCTTCTGGAACTTTACAAACTCATAGAGAATGGACTTTTCAGAGGCCAGGAAAGAGTTGTTTGAATCTTTCTAAACATCCACTCTCTCCTTCTGCTTTGCCTCTTAGACCACAGCCACATGAGTGGCATCAGGAGGGTAAAGTGCTCTGGAGCTTCTCAGAGACGATGTTGAAACTGCCCTTCTCTTCGTGCTTATCCCCAAACTCCTTTGTCACTTGGATTTTGTTGAGAATCACCCGAATGAGAAGAAATATATAGGGTGGCATTTGTTATTCTTTCTGTCACCTCTAACAACACTTTTATTTTGCTATTTTCTTTAATTACATGTGTGTTAAGGAAAATGAAGCTTTATAATTCCAAGTCGCTCATGTTCTACTTCCTACTAAAAAAGGAGAAAAATTTAGAATTCAGTTGTAAAACTTGAAGGTCTTCTGCATTATGTTAAGAAGTTTCCTTTCTTGTTTTTGATTCAAGAATATAAGTTAAAGTTACAAAACTTCGTGAAAAGCAGATGTGCATTTTGTCCTAAAAATTCTTACCCATTATCTGAAATTTTATTAGAGCACATAAAATAGAAGGGGGAGCCTGATAAATGTAAGTACTCATTTCCATCTTCCTCTACCATGCCTTCCCCTCTACGAAATATTATCACAGTACTCTGATCTTTCCTCTTAGAAATTGTTGGCAGTGGCCAACTTTGTCATAGTGGGAAAGTAGTGCCTTGGAATATCTGTGATGCCTGGTTCAATTCTGGTATCCATATATATCCTGGCAGCATCGCTTCCAATTCGGATCCTTGATAATGGCCTGAAAATCATACTGAAAGATGACTTGCGTGTTTAGGTCCTGGTCCCCCATATGGGAGACCTGGAGGAAATTCTTTGCGCCTGTCTTCAGCCTAGCCAAACTCTGGCCATTGCATCCATTTGAGGAGTGAGCTAGCAGCTGGGACAGCTCTTTCCCTCTCTTCTCTCTATAACTTTTCAAATAGGTAAATGCATACTTTTTAAAAAAATTAGGGAGTGCTATATAGAGAAACTCATTTTCGTGGTTGAGTTAAAACAAGACTTACTAGAAAGATGGAGAAAAGGATTTAAATAATTTTTAAGAAACTTGGGAAAGTAAATCAGGGAAAAACCTTACCGAATACTCAAGGTTTTTGAAGATAAATATTTTCAAATAAACTTGACAAATATATGAAGGTAGGTTCTAATTTATTCAATTATATAATAATGATAAGTCACTTAAGCATGAGATCTTTATTGGAAATAACTTATCGATAGAAGATCAAGAGTAAGAAAATAAGAATGGATCCCAAATTATCCTTAGTTTTATAAGGCAGAAAATAGACATCAGGAGAAACTGATCAAAACTGAATCAGCTTTGTGCCTGTATGAAGGCTACCTACCTGAAGTTCTAACTATACAGGTGCTGGGAGACAGTATAAGCCGAGGACCAGGAAGAGTTGAAATCCATAAAACACGTGACAGATGCTCGGTCAATTTTGTCTGATTGGGCAATAAGTGTTTGGGATATCGTACCAAAGCCAGTGCGTTAATTTTCACCATGTGACTCAGGGTCTAGCAAAAGGCAGCTGAACATGTCCAAATGAAATGCTTGTGGGTGAATTGCTATTCACTTTATGATTCCATGCCTTCTAAGCCTTGCTGATTATGAAATTAGAGATTAAAAGGATCCAAATGATCCAGTGGTTTGAAAATAGTTACCTACTAAAAGCCTCATCAAAATTTGACAAAAAAAAAAAAGATTAAATTAGGCTAGATAAAAGAATCACTGGAGTTTGGATTAATATTATGAATTGCTATAGAATTCCTTGAATTATCTCTCACAAGTTGTCATGGGACATATGTGTAAAGCTTACACAAAGGGTTTCCTTTTTTTACACTTGACAAGCTTTTTTAAAAAAGGTACCGAGGTGGTTTTATAAGCCTCCGAGTGCATTGAGTCTCCATTGAAAACACTGCTACACAATGTACTATCCATAGAGCAATAGCAGGAACATTATCTAAAAAGATGTTGCATATACAGTAT